TACTTTGATAAATATAGATATAAATAAAATATCCAAAATTTAATTTACTAAGGTTTGTAATAGAATAGTAAAGCAATTTGTTTTATATTTACCTTATTATATTGTCCTAAATTCAAGGTCTTTTAAAAATGATTTCTATCGGGCTTGTTTGCAATCAAAAGTTAAATAAGGTCGTCTTCATTGTATTGATATAATCGCCGATTACTGAATGTCCAGCTATATGCAATTGTGTTCTTGACTTAATTTTATTAAGCTTTATTAAAAATTTGTTTTTCTTTTGCAATGCGGTGCAGGGTCAATTTAAGACTCTGAATCTTAATCTGGTTTCATGGCTTAATCGACACACACTGTATACGAAAAATTGGAATGTTTCAAGTTTCTATTCTCATAAGCTTCTTAACTTCAAGCTGAAAAAGGTCAGAAAGGCTGTGGCGCACACTTGTGTGCCGATTCCATTAGCGACTGATCAGGGTTCAGTCATGTGTTTGTTGTCTATTCTGAATCAACAGAAATAGTATGGCGGTAACATCTATCTTTCTATCTATTTTATCATCCAATTAGAGATGAATCCATAAAAACGCGCTAAACATCCTATGGAAATATTTACTTCTACTGAAACTGAAGTGGGCGTTCTGCAATAAATTAAATGTAGAAAATGTTAACCCCTGGGAAGTGGGGGGTCTGACATTTTAATTTATTTTTAAATCAGAGTTTGAGTTCGTTCCTAAAAGTGAATTGATTAGTTTAAATTCTTCTAGAAAAGTTTATGCAAGAACTGCAACAAATTAATAATTAATAATTTCTCTTCAATTTCTTGATTAAAATTGTGTTTGATTTTCCTTACAGAGATTTGTTGAATAAACAAACTAGATTAATGTTTGGTAAACAAGGAATATAAAAAGAAAGTTTCTTTCTTATATCTTTTAACTTGTACCTTATTCAGACGAAAAAACTGAAATTTTACATAGCCAAATGTTTTTTTAACAATTTATTATTTATAAATGTTTTTATAAATTTAGGTAAAAGTAATACAGAACATTACAATATATTAATGTTTTTCTTTTCAAAATTTCTCTATTTAAATGAATTTTTTCCCTGCAAAAAAATGAAATAGGGTATAGGCTTACGTCGAAAAATTATTGATTGTGATCGCTACTTACAAAATCAGAGAGTTGCAATATTCGACTTGGATCGTAAAAAATCAATTTAATTCCAAACAAATCATTCTGATATTACAACCTATAAAAACATTATAAAGCTGATATTTCATAATATTTTTGACGCATTAGTATATAAAGCTAATATTTCATAATATTTTTGACGCATTAGTATATAAAGCTGATATTTCATAATATTTTTGACGCATTAGTATATAAAGCTGATATTTCATAATATTTTTGACGCATTAGTATATAAAGCTGATATTTCATAATATTTTTGTTTTTTCAATGAATATTTCGCTTCAACTTGTTTCCCGGCTGGTGCTGGATTTTCTAATATTCCTGGAAAATAAGAAAATGTCATCTTCATTATCAAAATCCTGGAAACAGGAATGAATGTTTTCAAAAGTAAATCTCGAATCATAATAAATCATAATAAAACTTCCTATATCCTTAACTGTATGCGCTTAAAATAAATATTTATTTTTAAATAAATTGAGTCTTTGCCTCAAACTATGATTTTCTAATTCGTATATCATTGCAATCCTATGTCGTAAACCTTAGATATTTAAAATTATGAATTCTGATATATCAAGAAATCTAAGCTTGAAATATCACAGATTTACAACATCAGTTTGCAAAGAAATAGGGATTGGAAAATTTAAGTTTGTGACAAAAACTCATTTTCTTTCTATCTTTTATGATTGTTTGGTTTCGTTGGTTCTTTTTTGTATATTTTTGTATATTTGACATCTACAAAACTTCCTCTTTCAAATTAAGAAAATAGAATTGTTTCCTGACATTGATGATGGTTTCATTTTATTTTAAAGACAAATTTAGAACAATAAGCATGAGACAGTTTTGTTCGTTATCATTCAAATGTCAATTCTAGATTTTTAATTAAATGAATGAAATAAAGGTTTTATTTCTATTTTGAAACTTTATCAAATTTTGTGACTTACTTCGCTCACTTTTTTTTCTTTCTTATTTATCTTTTTTTGTGAAATTGGCAATCTATCATTCTTTGAATAATTTTGACTTTCAAAACTGAATAAGTCCTCTCTATCCAATATGTGTCCCCATTGTACTAATAAGTCCTGCTTGTCCTATCAATGTCCTTTTTTTCTGTCGATGTCCCAGATGTGTCATATTTCAGTTCTATCTGTTTCGATCCTATCCGTAACCTATTTGTGTGTTCTAGCTGTGTTCCTTCTGTGTCTTATGTGTCCAATATATGTCTTTTATGCGTTCCATATATCCTATCTGTGTTTTATCTGTGTCCTATTTGTTTTCTGTCTGTGTTCTATCTGTGTTCTCACTGTGTCCATTATGTGTCTTATATGCGTTTCATATATCCTAAATGTGTTTTATCTGTGTCCAATATGTGTTCTGTCTTTGTTCTATCTGTGTCCTATAGGTGTGTTATATATCTCAGTGTCCTATCTGTGTTTATCCTTGTTTTCATCTATCTACATAATCTGTGACTATTGTATAGCGTTGCTTAATATATTCTGAATTATACTGTAATAGAAATTTTTTTGGGATTAGACTATCCTATCTAGCTAGATTATACAACTCTATTCACAAGAAATATAACATTTAAGACTAGACTATCCTTGTAAAACTAGATTTATACAAGTAGGAACTCTATTCAATCCTAACACAAGGAATACATTTAGGATTAGACTATCCTTGTAAAACTAGATTCATACAACTCTATTCGATCCTAACACAAGGAATACAACATTTAGGATTAGACTATCCTTGTAAAACTAGATTTATACAAGTAGGAACTCTATTCAATCCTATCACAAGGAATACAAGATTTAGGATTAGACTATCCTTGTAAAACTAGATTCATACAACTCTATTCGATCCTAACACAAGGAAACAAGGAATACCACATTTAGGATTAGACTATCCATGTAAATATAGATTCATAGAAATCTATTCAATCCTAAGACAAGGAATATAACATTAGGATTAGACTATCCTTGTAAAACTAGATTTGTACAAGTAGGAACTCTATTCAATCCTAACACAAGGAATACAACATTTAGGATTAGACTATCCTTGTAAAACTAGATTTATACAAGTAGGAACTTTATTCAATCTTAACACAAGGAATACAACATTCAGGATTAGACTATCCTTGTAAAACTAGATTTATACAAGTAGGAACTCTATTTAATCCTAACACAAGGAATATAACATTTAGGATTAGACTATCCTTGTAAAACTAGAGTTATACAAGTAGGAACTCTATTCAATCCTAAAAAAAGGAATATAACATTTAGGATTAGACTATCCTGGTAAAAATAGATTTATACAACTTTATTCAATCCTAACACAAGGAACATAACATTTAGGATTAGACTATCCTTGTAAAACTAGATTTATACAAGTAGGAACTCTATTCAATCCTAACACAAGGAATACAACATTTAGGATTAGACTATCCTGGTAAAACTAGATTTATACAACTCTATTCAATCTTAACACAAGGAATACAACATTTAGGATTAGACTATCCTTGTAAAACTAGATTTATACAAGTAGGAACTCTATTTAATCCTAACACAAGGAATATAACATTTAGGATTAGACTATCCATGTAAAACTAGATTCATACAACTCTATTCAATCTTAACACAAGGAATACAACATTTAGGATTAGACTATCCTTGTAAAACTAGATTTACACAAGTAGGAACTCTATTCATTTCAATCCTAACACATGGAATACAAGATTTAGGATTAGATTATCCTTGCAAAACTAGATTTGCCTATAATCCTTATATTTTGCAGCCCAATGTTGCAGACTATAGATATTTCAAACTGTGATATCTGTCCAATTTATCATTTATTTCAAAATCTTCAGTAAAATTCGTTGGTTTTGAAAAATTAACGATAATTTTCAAAAAGTCAATTCAAACTATGTTAAATCAATGATTTCTTTTTTTCCTTAGTTAGTTGGTTTAATTGTTTTTAAAAAAAACGCTTATTTATTTTACTGAATGATCCAAGTCAGTCGTCCATTGTTTGCTTTTATCTGAACGTCACGGACACCATCACTTACGAAAAGTTTAGTTGTTAGTTCACGAAAACAATCTCTTTATTAGGTTATTATTGTTTAAATCAAACTTTGAATAAAATGAAAAATTGAAGCATTATATAAAAATCTTTTACTCCATTTAAATTCCTTTCAAACCTTACTTTGCAGCTTTATTGCAACTTCTCTATTCATGCTTCGCACCACTTACCTCCATACAACTTCTATAGCTCTCAGTCGTATTAAAGGGACTGTGAACGTAATTTAAAGTGACTCTCTCTAGAGGATTGTCCCATTTCTAGACGATTGTCCCATTAAACTTGTGTCTAATTAAAAATGAATAAGATAATAACACTTTTATTTCTGTAAGTTTATAATTTTTCTGTCGTTTTCTCTAAAAATAACTATTTGAAATATTCAGAGATGCGCGCTCGTATTTTTAGAACAACGGACTTTTCCTGAGAGAGGAAATATCGTTTTTGTTGTTGAGATATAGGTTTAAATGGTTTATACTATTTTAAACCTGACATCATCATGTAAACCAAGCTAGAAACAAACGCGTAAGAATTAAAGAATGTTTATATCTAGGGCTACAAAAATGTAGAAGTAAGTTGGTGATTAGAACCATAGACCAACGCGTTGCGACACTTTAAAGTCGAGGCTGCTTGGAAAGGAATTGAGTCTTTTCCAAAAACTCTGATTTTCTAATCACTATATNTTATAATTATTTATAATTAAATCATATAAATTGAACTATGATAAATTATCAATTAAATTGATCACTTATAGAAACAAATCTTATTTTATATATTTAACAATTTATCATAATTATTTTCAACAATATACATATAATAAAATTTGAGATTTCTGCTCTCTCCAAACCCTTTCTCAGGGTTAGGTTTAGGTCTCAACCTTCTGCAGGGGTAGGTTTAGTCCCAAATCTTCTCCAGGTCTACTCCAGCATCAACTAAAACCTTTTTGAGTTCTTCCTTTTCTCTCTCCATATCCGCTTCAATTTCCTCTTCTGTTAATCCTTTAAGTTCCTTTTCAATTCTGTTTAAGTCTTCCATCTCAACATCAACCATAGCAATAATATCCTCCACGCTAGTTCCACATCTTTCATAATATACAATAATATTCCATCTCAACATCAACCATAGCAATAATATCCTCCACGCTAGTTCCACATCTTTCATAATATTCCTTGCACATTTTCTGTCCCTGCTTGATTCCAACTTGGGCCGCCAGGGTCAGCTGAACCCCTCCAGATTTAACATCAATTTCCTTGTTGAAGGTTTCACTGATAATAATCTCGTTATCAGTCATACTTTTCTTATTAGTTATGTATTTGGCTGACAGCTCACACACTAACTTTTTGCTGCAATCGTCCTGATCCTTGCTGGTCATTTCGGCAGTCCATTTATCAAGATCAAAAACTTCAGTTTCTCTCTTTATTCTAAGGACTTGTTCATGAGTGAACTCTGCAACAATACTACGCTTCCCTCTGTGATGGTGATATCTATCAGAGCTGTAGTAGTACTAAACATATAAATATTATATATTCTACAATCTACGGTCTATACTTTACTCATTACACTCTACAATCTACAGATACACTCTACACTCTACACTCTACACTCTACACTCTATACTCTACACTCTACACTCTACACACTAAACTCTACAATCTACACTCTACAGTCCTGAAAACTATTTAATCTAAAGTTTACCGGTTGTGGTCTGGTATAATAATTGTTTGATCTTGAATGATGATGGTCGTAGTGATGACTGGGTTGATAACTGTGGTATGTCCCATGGTGACCGTGACTCCTGGATCTGACCAATGATGCACCATATCGTCTTCCGCCGAATAAAGAAAGAATACCACTGGCCAAACCAACAGCAATAGGACCAAAAAATATCGCTTCAGCCGCTGACAAGCATGTCAAAATAAACAAACTAGAAAAAAGAACATTTTAAATAGATTTTCTAGAATTGCATAATAGATAAAAAGACCTCAAAATCGGTGAACCTATAGCAAACCCTATAAACAGTCCCTTGTAAAGTAAAAAAAATGGACAATGATAGCTATTTATTCGTATACAATTATCCGTAAAAGAATAGAGATAGTTTGAAATCTGCGAATCATGATAAAGAAAATTCGCCAAATTACAACATTTTCAAAACCATGTCTCTCTGATAAAACTTAATAAGTGTGTTCTCGTCAAGGTAAGGATACCTATAGTTAAACCAGTAAAAATAAAATAGTTTCAAGACCTTATTAAATAGATTATATTTGATGATTTTTTACATTTATACAATAAGTTACTATAAGAAATGTTAACCAGACGAAATGTAGCCTATACGAAATATTACCCAGATGAAATGTAACCTATGCGAAATGTTATCTAGACGAAATGTAAATATACGAAATGTTACCCAGACGAAATGTAACCTATACGAAATGTAACCTATTCAAAATATTACACAGATGAAATGTAACCTATACGAAATATTATCTAGATGAAATGTAACATTACAAAATGTTACCCAGACGAAATGTAACCTATACAAAATGTAACATATACGAAATGTTATTAAAACGAAATGCAACCTGTACGAAATATTACCCAGACGAAATGTAACCTATTTGAAATGTTATCTAGACGAAATGTGACTATACAAAATGTTACCCATACGAAAGGTAACCTATACGAAATGCTACCCAGACGAAATTTAACCTATATGAAATGTTACCCAGAAGAAATGTAACCTATACAAAATGTAACCTATACAAAATATTACCCAGACGAAATGTAACCTATATGAAATGTGACCTGTATGAAATTTTACCCAGACGAAAGGTAACCTATACGAAATGTTACCCAGACGAAATGTAACCTATATAAAATGTTACCCAGAAGAAATGTAACCTATACAAAATGTAACCTATACAAAATATTACCCAGATGAAATGTAACCTATATGAAATGCGACCTGTATGGAATGTTACCCAGACGGAAGGTAACATGTACGAAAGGTAACCTGTACGAAAGTTACCAAGACGAAATGTGACCTACAAAATACGAAAATAAACCTTAACGAAAGTTAATATAAAAAATGTACTTTACAAAATGTTACTGATCCAATGATAATAGATAAAAAAACACCCTGCTTAAGAGGAGCAATTACGATTACACAATGGTGCTCTTTAAACCTTTATCTTTAATATGGAAAATATCTTCGTAGCTTCAGAAGTGTTTTATTCTAATAATTTTATCCTTGTTTTTCTAAGCAGAAATCTGCAAATTATTAAAAAAGGCTAAATTGGAGAAAATTATTTAAAGAGAAAATGATGGAACTTTCCTGTGTAATTGATCAGACAAAACTACCATATAGTGAACCGAACTATACTAATCATTTAAACAAACAAAACTACCGTATAGTGAACCAGACTATACTAATCATTTAAACAAACAAAACTACCGTATAGTGAACTGAACTATACTAATCATTTAAACAAAAACAACTACCGTATAGTGAACTGAACTATACTAATCATTTAAACAAAAACAACTACCGTATAGTGAACCAAACTATACTAATCATTTAAACAAACAAAACTACCGTATAGTGAACTGAACAATACTAATCATTTAAACAAACAAAACTACCGTATAGTGAACCGAACTATACTAATCATTTAAACAAACAAAACTACCATATAGTGAACCGAACTATACTTATCATTTAAACAAACAAAACTACCGTATAGTGAACTGAACTATACTAATCATTTAAACAAAAACAACTACCGTATAGTGAACCGAACTATACTAATCATTTACACAAATAAAACTATCGTATAGTGAACCTAACTGTACTAATTATCTAAACAAACAAAACTACAGTATAGTGAACCGAACTGTTCTAATCATTTAAACAAACAAAACTACCATATAGTGAACCGAACTATACTTATCATTTAAACAAACAAAACTACCGTATAGTGAACTTTTAGCTACGCTTGGATAAATAAAGCCCGGTTTAAATAATTACATTTATTAACTGGTAAAAGTACAAATTTTAGTTTGAGTTATTAAAATTATATCAAGGTGACGTGACAGTATTTTAGTACGTCTTGCCGCATTCGAATATCCCGGCTTCAGACCTTTCATGTTGTATCGTCTTCCGCCACAGTACTCCCCCCAAGAAGGCAAGGCGGAACTAAACGGAGTCCTAATAAAACCAGAGGCAGATGAGAAACCCAGTCGGAGTCAGCAGCTCTGGCTGGGAGAGAAGACTTGAGGGATCTGTGAAACCGTTCAATCATGCCATTTGACTGTGGATGAAAACTTGTTGTCTGAGAGGTAGAAATGCCGAGGATTCGACAGACTCCGGCCCACACAGAGGACGTAAACTGAGCTCCTCTGTCTGAAGTTAATGTTGCTGGAACTCTGAATCTTGAAATCCAGGAGGAGATAAACGCTCTCACGCAGGCCTCCGTGGAAATGGAAGACAAAGGAACAGCTTCTGGCCAGCGTGTGGTTCTGTCAATCATGGTTAATAAATAAGAGTAACCCAGACTGGATGGTAGAGGACCAACTATGTCTATGTGAACGTGAGAAAACCATCTTGAGGGAACAGGAATCGCTGGTACAGAAGCTTTCACATGTTTCTGTATTTTGCTCCGTTGACACTGGAGGCAAGATCTGGCCCACACTCCTACATCTCGAGATAAACCAGGCCAGACGAAACGAGCGGAGACTAGCCTCCGTGAACCTCTGACCCCAGGATGAGAGATATTGTGAAGAGCAAGGAACACAGGCTTGCGGAGAACCTCTGGAACTAAAGGTCTAAGTTTCCCTGTAGAATTATCACAAATTAAAATTTCACTGGATTCCAGGGTAACATTCACTATTGAGAGTGAAGATAGTTTCTTCATGGCCTGTATTGATGAGCAGGACTTCTGTAGAGATAATATTTCGGAAAAATTAAAACCTGGAATTGAAAAATCTTGTCTGATTGATTGATTGCTGGACGGTGAAGAAGGTTGAAGATCTGACACGGCCGTCACCGCCAACACCGCCGACACCTCCGACACCGCCGACANAGATGATGTGGAGTTTTGGAGCAGGGGTGGAGAAATTGGAGAAGGTTTGGTAGGGGGCGGAGCTGACTTGGAATGGGGCGGAAGTGGAGACAACGGAGAGAAGGGGACTGGAGCTGGGCTAGGGCGCCAAAGAGCATCAGCTACCACGTTCTCCTGGCCAGGCACTTGCACAATAGAACTTGTAAATTCTGCAATGTAGGCCAGATGTCTCTGCTGTCTACTCGTCCAGGGCGGAGAACTCCTGAACAAGGCAGATGTTAAAGGTTTGTGATCAGCGTATAACGAGAATTCTCTATCTTCTAACATGAAGCGGAAATGTCTGATGGACAGACAGGCAGCCAGGAGCTCTCTGTCGAAGGTTGAGTATTTCTTCTCAGTTTCTGACAACTTCCTGGAGAAAAATGACAACGGAGCCCAGGCATCCTGAATCCTCTGTTGTATTACGGCGCCTACGTGAGAATCTGAGGCATCGACAGCAATGGAGATCGGTGCAGATGGACGAGGATGAGTCAGTTCAGGAACCTTGATGAGAAGATCCTTGGCACGGCGGAAGGCAACGTCGAGGTCTGGGGTCCAGGTGAGAGTCTTACCAGCCCCCTTCAGAGCGTTGGTCAAGGGAGCTAGTACTCCAGCAGCCCCCCGGAGAAATTTCCTGTAGAAGTTAAGCATGCCAAGAAATCTCTGCAGAGCAGGTTTGTCAGCTGGAACAGGGAACTCAGAAACTGCTGTTGTATGTTTGACCAGAGGAGAGCAACCTGTAGCAGATACTAGATGACCCAGGAACTCTATCTCAGGAACCGCAAACTCACATTTCGGCAGGCCGATAGTCAGTCCATGCTGTCAACATAGGAGGAGGACCTCACGGAGATGATCTATGTGTTGATCAAGGCTGCTGCTGAAGATCAGGATATCATCGACATAAGTGATACAATAGGGTAGATCGCCAAGGATAGAATCCATCATTCTCTGGAACATGCCGAAAGGTGTGATTATCGCTGTCTTACAAATGTCTTCTTCAGCCATGGGAACCTAGTAGTATCCCTTCTGCAAATCTAGCTTGGAGAATACTGTAGAACCGGCGATCCTTGATGAAAAATCTGCTATATTAGGTAACGGGTAACGATCAGGGATTGTAACCGTGTTCAGTCTACTGTAATCACCACAGGGACGCCAGCCTCCGTCCTTCTTCTTGACCATGTGGAGGGGGGAAGACCAAGGAGAGGTAGATCTACGTATAATACCCGCCTTCTCCATGGCGGAGAACTCTGCTTTGGCGGAAGCCAACTTCTCTGGATCCAATCGACGGGCTCTTGCAAAAACTGGAGGACCCGGCTGCGTGAGGAGATGATGTTTTACTCCATGACAAGGCTTAGAGGCTGTGAAACCGTCCGAAGAGGCTACGTCTGGAAATTCGGCGAGTAGGTCCTGGATGCACTTCGAAGTGGTGAGGAGATTTGCCTTGAACGGAGCTGACGTGGAATCTGGAACAGTTGGAAGGACGAAGGACGGGGAGGTTGGTGAATCGGAGCTGAAAACCCTCTGGTTTGCAACATCTAATAACAGGCTGAAATGCTTCAAAAAATCAGCGCCCAGGATGGGAATGGCTCCCGGAGCAAGCTGGAAGGGCCATTCAAACCTGTGGTCTCCAAATCGAAGAGGTATAATCCGAGAACCAGAGCATGTGAGCGAGGAACCATCTGCTGTAAGCAACCTGACTCCTGATGAGGTGGAAGCAGAGCGTGGATCAGGGAACACTGATACTGATGCACCAGAATCTATCAGGAATCTTCGTGAGCTGAGTGAATCTTGTAAATAAACCAAATGTGTTGAAGTAGACGGCCCGGCAGGAAGTGTACGAAGGTCCTCCTGCCGGTCA